TTGGAAATCTGCTCGGGAAAATAATTGCAATAACTGTTTAGTGCACTGTGAAATTATTTTGGCTCTAATTACAAGAAGCGTTTATGATCTTTGTTATTATGCATGTGTGTGACATTTGTGCGCTTCCTGTTTTAGGTTGAAGACCTGGACTTCTCCAGCCTTCTGCACTGTGTGGTGGAGGTGGAGGACTATAACGATCACGCTCCTGTCTTCATTCCACACTTCATGTCACTCGCTCCGCTACCCGAGGACATTGTTGTGGGAACCAGTGTGGCCCATTTGGTAGCCAGCGACTCTGATTCAGGCCAGAACCGTGACATCACCTATAGCTTGTCAGAGGACTCAGACCCCGAGGGTCTGTTCACCATCGATCAGTCCGGTCTGCTGTCAGTGGCTCGGCCTCTGGATCGGGAAAGGATACCCCAGCATCACTTAGTTGTCATTGCGACTGATCACGGCGTCCCAGCTCTGACAGGCAGCGCCACAGTTCAGCTGCCTCTGTTGGATGTGAATGATAACGGACCGGAGTTTGAAGCAGCGTACTCTCCAATAGTCTTTGAGAATGTGTCTGGACCGCAGGTAGGTTTAATCCCATATAGCATACTGTACTGTTATGTATAGATTTTCATAAAGACGAAGCAAATGATAATGATTGACTGTGTGGTTAAAAACTCTTCAGTGAACAAAGCTCCAACCCCTCATCCTTTTTCATCTTGTTTAGGTAGTAAGGTTGAACCAAACGTCGACCCTCCTTCAAGCTGTGGATCACGACTCCCCTGAGAACGGCCCTCCTTTCCACTTTGCCGTCCCCCCTGAATATCGCTACAGCAACGATTTCTACCTTCAGGACAATCTCAACGGCACGGCCACACTAACAGCTTTGAGGACATTTGACCGCGAGCGCCAAAAAGAGTTTCTCATTCCTATTATTATGAGTGACAGTGGAAGTCCAGCCAAGACGGTGACCAGCACCCTGACTGTGACCATCGGTGACCAAAATGATCACGCACACGTGGCAGGGGAGAAGAAAATCTTCATTAATAGTCACAGGGGTGAGTAGGCGGTGGTGAAAAAGTAAAACTGAATGCATAAATGTACTTGTTTTTTCGCCAATTTGTGTGTTTTCATAATATTTGGAAGTCATTATAATTCACATTTAAATCCAGGTAACTGCCCAGCCCGACTCTGTGCTATCAACAATCAGCTTGGGTGTCCTTGAGGCATTATGTAGAGGCAAAACCACCTTTTTCTGGCCTTCACAGATTAGCTGCACGACACCGATTGGAGGGTTTCTTTGAAAATTCCCTTTTGTCTTTAGGGTGATTTTGTTTTACTTTGTCAAATTAAAAGTCTGTGTTTTTGTGAATTTAACATTATTTGACAGACGGGGGTCGGTGGGAAAGTTTTAAAATGTCGCTCAAGCATCATCTACTTAATAAAACAGCCTTTATCTACTTTTTAAAGCACATTTTGAACTTTGCCCTCAAACTTTTCTCTCTCTGTAGGTGACTCTCTTAGTGCCAGCTAATTAATTCCTAATCAGTGAGCAGTAATTAAAACACACACACTGTGTTTGTTGTGTTTTTCACCTCCGCCTCAACTCTTCCATTGTCACTACATCATCATTCCCCACATGATCACTATTTAGTTGCCGTGACTCCCACGGTGCCGTTCTAAGGGTCACAAAGGCAAGATAGTGCTCGATTCAACACACGGTTAATTACACTTTAAATGTTTAATCTCTGTCAGCGTACTGTGTTTCTGGTCTGTCTGAACTCCGGCAGTGAATCTCAGATTTTTAGTCCCAGAAAGCGTCCATGTAGTTTTCAGACTTACACAGGCTTCACGGCACACTGTCGTTGTCAGTTAGGTTGAGTTATGCATTAGAAGTACACGTGCATCCCTCGTCAGCAGTGTTGGTCAAGTTACTTGAAAAAAGTAATCAGTAACTAATTACTGATTACTTCCCCCAAAAAGTAATCCCGTTACTTTACTGATTACTTATTTTC